GCTGAGCTAAATCCCCAGCCCGGCAGCTGCTTCTTGAACCTCATCTCTCCCTCCCCCTCAGACTTCTGTCTTTCCTCAAAGACCTCAAAGTCTTTCACATCTCAGGGCCTTTGCATGGATGGCAGATTGCTCTGATTTTTATTTATCCTCTAGGTGCCTGCTTAACTGTTTAGACCTTCCTTGACTAGGCTATCCCATTGACACCCTGCAATTCTCAGGGCTGTCCTCTCCCACTGGCATCCTAATCTTTTTCTGGGATAACATAATCACAATTGATGATGGTCTGTTTTTCTGTTTCCTACATCAGACTGACATTGACTCGTCACATGGCTCACAGGTCTGTCCCCAGGCCCTGCTGCATTGGTGATACCCACTGAACACCTGCTCCGTGCTGGAATCCCCACTGCCAACCACCCAGGAGGGGTTTGAACACAAAGCACCCTCTGCAGATGTGCAGTGGTCCTATGTGGGATCTCCTCAGACCCCAGGGAACAGAGACCAGGCCCGGGTGTGGGCAGGATGACTCCTCCTCCCGGACATGGCTCTGTTTGTCACCTGTCCCCCAAATCCAAGGCCCTCATGGTGCCAGTAAAGAGCTGGGTGGGCAGCTGCTTCTAGCTCAGGACAGATTCTGTCCTTTTTCTGATGGAGGCGAGTGAAATTGGTTTGAAGAAAATGTCAAAGTATAAAAACAGTGCAGCGATTCAGTCTTGGTCGCTGCCATTTGAAAGGAATGAACGTGGGATGAACCAAAAAAACAAAATCCAAACCCAAAGCAAAACAAAAACACCCTACTGTTTTAGAATCTGTTTCAGAAACAATCACCTCATTGTTTTCTGTGTCATAGTAAAATTAAGGACTCACCCGAGCTTTGTTCTAGGGTGACTGGTCAACAGAGAGGCCGGTCTCTGTGTAACACTTCTGCAGCCATCAGAAAGTACTTCTCATTACCAGAGCACATGCAGCAGGTAAGGTATGGGAGGGCGAGGAAGGGCCTCAGGTGCATTGGGGAGATGAAGCTGAATGTCCATTTGAGTGGAAAAGAACTAAGTCAGCATCCACCAGAGATATTTTCACAGTCCTTAGGTCTTGTCACTTGCTTCAAACCCTCCAGGCCTTAAAATAAAAGTCAAGCACTCTATCATTGTGGTAAGCTGAATAATGACCACCCAAAGATATTCCATATCCTAATCTTTGGAGCCTGCAAATTTTACCTTATAAAGAAAAAGAATCTTGGGCTGGGGATTTAGCTGAGTGGCACAGTGCCTGCCTGGCAAGCACAAGGTCGTGAGTTTGATTCCCAGTACCGGAGAAAGAAAGAAAAAAGAAAAAAGAAAAAGAGTCTTTACAGATAAAGTCAAGTGAATAAATTAAGATTCTTGACTTGAGGAGACTACTCTGGATGACCCTAATCCAACCACGTGTCCAAATAAAATAGACTTATCCACACAGATTTCATACATACAGAAGCAGAGGGGCAATATGAGCGTGGAGACTGTGAGGTCACAGTCGAGGAAGCCAGCAGCCACTAACAGAAGCTGGAGGATTCTCCCCTAGGGCCTCCAGAGGGCTCTACGGGACTCTATGGGACTGACTGCAAATAATAGCTGGTCCCCTGAACTGTGAATAAATTGTTGTTAATTCTAAGCCACCGAGTCTGTAGTAATTCGACACAGCAGCCCCAGGACACTAATACACTCAGCTATGCAGTCCGGTGTGACCTCCCTCTGCCCCTGCAGCGGCCAGCCTCTTCCTCCTGCTCCAGCCCTGCCAGGGACCTTCTTGCTGTTCTTCAAGCTGCACCTTCAAGTCCCTCACGCTGTCTAAGCTCACCTAGACCTTCCCAAAGGCACAGCCTGACTTAAATTTCACGTGTCTGCATACCTCCTTGTATAGGTCTTCCTTGGCTACACAAGCGAGTTCAAGGCCAGCCTGTACTAGGGAGTGAGCACTTGTCTCAAACCCCGCTCCTCCAATCTCCTGCTGGCCTCTCAAAATCATACCCCTCTGTTATTTTAGTCCCAGCATTTGTCGGCATCTGAAGTTATTTTTCCTCCCTGGTTTATAACTTGTCACTCCCAGGACTACCAAGGCCCTCTTCCTCTTGGTCTCTCCTCTCTCCCAGGCACTGGGTGAGACTTGACATACAGGAGGCGCTGGGCGAGCCTGGGTTGAGGAATAAATGTATGAAATATCTGTGCAAACATCTGTGGGCGCGCACGCATGCGTGAGTTTTAGGGAGCGATGAAACCTTAGGCCTGGCATGACCTCCCATTTTCTGGTGGTGCTTTCCTTTGCAGAATGGCGGCTGCTTTCTATGTAAGGTTGGATTTCTTCCCCACCACAGCTTTGCCGACCTCTGTATAGCGGGCGAGGTGATGCTCGCCCGCCTATCTCCTAAATTCCTGTATTTGGAGTAAACCTTGTGCAACTGCTATTAAAGGACGTCCCGTCCCCTTCTCCCGCGTGCTCACGTTTCTGAGACCCGTTCCCAGAACTCGGACTTGTGAAGGAGTCACCAGCTTTATGTCTAGAGAGGCACGGGGGTTCGTCCGCAGGCACAGAGCCCCAGCCGCATTCGGGAGAGGGGTCCACACGGGGCGTGGCGGCACACAGGGCGCGGACCTAGGGCAGAGGGCGCAGAGGCGCACAGCCGGGGACCGCGAGGAGGAAAGGCTCTGCCGTCCAGCCTGCTGGACAGCTGAGCCCTCTCGCTGACCCGGACCTGGTTTTCCCCTTGTGGGAAGCGGCGGCGGCTGCTGGGGAACCCGCGAGGGAAGGCTTGTGGCCAGCGGCGAGGCTAGGGTTAAAGGGGCGGTGCTCACCACGGGGCGGGGCCGGGCCGGCCGCACCTGGCGCTCCTGCTCCCCGGCGGACGCGGTGCGCACAGCGCTCACTGCGGGAGCCGGAGCCCCGGAGCAGAGGTGCGGAAGCCCGCACCCACGGCGGGAGGGCGGCGGCGCGGCCGGAGCCAACTCGGGAGCGAGCGGAGCCGCCATGGCCGAGTTCCCGTCGAAAGTGAGCACGCGGACCAGCAGCCCCGCACAGGGTGCGGGTGCCTCGGCGTCTGCGCTGCGCCCGGACCTGGGCTTCGTGCGCTCCAGCTTCGGGGTGCTCATGCTGCTGCAGCTGGTGAGAACCCGCGGGCCCGCGGGCTGGGGTGGGCGGTGTGCAGTCCATATCTGGGGTGGCGGGGGCGACTCCGAGCGGCGCTCCCTCTTCTCACCCAGCACCTCCCCAGCGTAGGTTCCCGCCTCCCGACGCGCCTTGCTCACTGCGAGGCGCTTCCAGAATGGACACCTCGCCATCCCCAGGAACCTTCTCACCTCGGGGCGCCCCTGTTGCCATCCCTGCGAGTGCACGCACTAGGCACGCGTGATCAGGGTGCCCGGCTCCAATGTCCATCATCGCCGCCCCAGGTGGTCACCCCAGTCACACAGAAGCGCCCACCCGAGCAGCAGATCCCTGCGTACAGCTCTGTGCTGGTGGTTCTGTCTCCTCTTTCCCTGCCCCCTCTCGGCCAGGACAATCCTCCTACCCTCCAGGGGACCCAGGCCAAACCAAAGTCCACTCTCGGCCCCCTCCCTCCCGGCTCCAGCGGCTCCGGAGCTCTCCGGTCCCAGCTGGAGAGTACACCGCGGCCCGCACATGCGCCTGGTCACGGCCCCGAGGGCTCCTGCGCGGCTCTGGCTCCCTCTGGGTGACCTGCCAGGTGCCAGCCGGTTTGACCGGCACCGCGGGCCGAGCGATATTGCGCCCTGAGCCGGGAAGGGATTTGTGGGAAGCCAGAGTCGAGACTCCCACCGCTCCCCGATTTTGCGTACTGGACTTCGGCGGAGGTGACCGAAGGGAACGCCCCTCTTCCTCCAACACCAGCGTCCGGCCTGGGGGCGTTCGGTTCCGTCCCGTGACACCCTCTGTGTTCCCCACCACCAGCTGAAGGCCTGGTCCATCTTCAGAGCAGTAGGGTGGACTTGGAGGTGGGGTTGGATCCAGTTTCCTTTACCGTCCAGCGAGTGGACCTTGCCCGCTGTCCCCCTTACTGCTGAGACCTGGCGAGGTCACCAGGCCCAGGATGGAGGGCTGGGTGGTCACTGCCGTCCCAACCCTGGCTGAGATCAGGTTTTCCTCCCCGCTCCAGTAGGGAAGCGCCCACTTCCGCCCCCATCCATCCTTGGATTCCTCTCGCTTCCCTTTGCGGCCTCCTCCCCCACCGCAGCCGAGGAGTCTCCGGCAGAGTTTGTTTAAAATGCAGATCCTGGACCCCACCCTGGAAAAAAAATGAATTGTTATTTGAATTTCCGGAAGTGCAGCCAGAAATCTACGTATTTAACATATTTAACTCGTCCCCAAGAGTGGGGCTTTTTTTGTTGTTTTGTTTTGTTTTTTGGTGAGACTCTGTTCTGTGTGTGTGGGGGGGTGACAATCTCTTCGGGGACTAATTTAAATCTGCTGGTGGGTGCTGGGGCTGTAGCTTAATGGTAGAGCACCTGCCTAGCAGGCAGAAATCCCAGTGTCCCCCACTTCCGCCCCACCCCACGGCAGAAACAACCCTGCCGGGGCAGGTAGGGAGGAGCTACTGGCCTGGCTGCGGCTGGGCTTCTGAGTGCTGGCCTTTAGGCCCTTGGTAAAATGCATCTGCTGCGCAGATTCCCGCCGTCCAGCGGGAATCCAGGTGGCTTATGAACCAGTGACCCGGAGGGAGATTAGGTCTGCACGGAGGAAGGCTTCCTGGAGGAGGTGGCTGTTGAGCTGGGAGGTGGCTGAACTCGGAAGCAGAGGCAGGGAAAGAGTGGACAAGGCTTGGAGATGGGAGGGGCGAGGGGCACACAGGTGAGTGGCCCTCAGTTGGGGAAGCTGGAGTGGAAGAGCACATTCAGGTTGGGGCGTGCAGAAGCCCAGGGTCCTGTGCACCCCTGCCCACGTGGGAGAAGTTCTGTGGACAGCGCCGGGGGGAGTGGTGGTGCTAGTGAGGTTGGGAACAAGCATGATGATGGGGTGGTTGTGCGGGTCCTGAGTGTTAGTCCTCGGCCATTGGCAGACAGGGTTGGAGCGTTTTGCGCTTGGACAACTAAGGATTGCAGTAAGGGAACAAAAGGAACTGGAATAAGGGTCCTGCTTGGTTTGAAGAAACTAGCTTTCTCCGGAGGCAGGAGGCTTATCTCCCGTTTGGGGGGTTCTGTGTGGGCTCAGCCCTGCCCTGAGCATCTGGGTCCTCTCGTCCAGGTGCAGGCATTGAGGTCTAGGTGGAATGCAGACCAACTCCAGGTACTGTGGTGGAGCTTGTGGTTGGGTCACTGTTCCCCTGGCAGCTGGGGGTGTGTGCTGGCGGCTTCCTTTGCCCCCACCCCGTGCTCTGGCCCTTGTCAGAGTCTGGAAACAGCATCCCTGAGCCTTCACCACACTGCCTGGAGAAGCTGCTTCCTGAGCTGTTTCTGTGGCAACGGGTAGTTCCACTGGGTCTGAGACAGGGGGTTCACCCCACACATCCCTCCCTGTGCTGGGAAGCTAGGACAGCTGTTGGTCAGCTGCAGCAGGCTCCAGGCCCCTTGCCAAGGGCTTTGTGTCCTCTTCTCCATTTCACAGGTGAGGAAACTGAGGCTCAGAGGTAGATCTTTACTCAAGATCTCACTGCTGTCCTGCACCGGGGTGTTTTGGAGTGAGTGGTGGGTTCCCCAGGCCTGGTGCCTGTCCTCCGGGATCAGGGAGGGCTGCAGGGAGGAGGCAGCAGGCTTCTTCCACATCAGACCACCCTCTGTCCTCAGGAGTTGTCATGGTGGAGGAAGGGAAGGTAGGGGGGAATCCCCCAGCTCCTTGAGGAGACATCCCTTCACCTGGGGTAGAACGGTCCTCCAGAACCAATCTCACTGTTCCTCGTATCTGGTCATAGCTGCCGATTCACCACTTGCTACCCATCTACTTCTACAAAGAACATTAGATGGTGATGATATTGAGCCACAAAAGAAGAGCTGATATATATTTCTAAAAATTGATAATTTGAAGGGAGGGATTGACTTTAAAGATACGTTAAAAAAATTAAAGAATCTAGGTGTGGTGCCACAGGGCTCTAGTTCCAGCCCTTGGGAAGTTGAGGCAGGGTTGTGAATTCAAGGCCAGCCTGGACTACATATTGAGACCCTGTCTCAAAAACAAACTTGGGCATGGTAATGCATACCTGTAATCCCAGCACTTGGGAGACTGAGGCAGGAGGATTGCTGTGAGTTGGAGGCCAGTTTAAGACTGTTGGTTTATTGCTGAGCTTCCTAGTAGCCCACGTAAAAGGAGGCAGACCAGTTTGATCTAGAAACAACTGTTCTGATCCTAAAACCTAGAGTTCTTAATGCTTCCGTTCTTCATGTGGTGAGATAGTGGAAGAATGTTGTGGGTTGTGTAGTTAACTGGTGCTTAGGGCAGATCCTCAGGCCTTTTAGGATAAGTATCAGCTAAATGCTAGTGAGTTACACAATTGTTTCGATTTTTTTGATCCTCCCCAACTCTGAGGAGAAGGGTAGTCTATCCAGGGATTGAAGGCATGTGCTAGCGCTCTCAGTTTGATCCTTGGGCTCTTAGGCAAGCCTAAGATGTTCAAGAGCAGCATTCTCGACACAGCTTGAATGCTTCCAGGACAGGGAGCTCAGTCCCTCTTAGGCTGCCTGCTCTCGGGAATGTTAGAGAGTTAGCAAGGCCAGCCCCTCTCCAGCCAGGGGACAGGACAGAGTCTGAAGTTCACTCTGACCTCCCAGAAGGGGCTGCCCAGGTTGTTAACCTCTGTAGGGTGTGAAAGAGCTCCATCCCTTTGGGACTGCATGTCAGGGACTCACGTGGCCTTCCTTAGTGTTGAGACTGTGGGTGGCTCTGTCCTTGGGCAGGGCTGGGGGTCCCCTGTCTGCCTCTGCGCAGCTCTACCAGGGAGCGCCCTGTGACCTTGGCTCCCTGTGGGGGAGGGCAGGGGATGATGTAGCATGTTTGGGAATTCGCTTGTAATTACATAATGACTGCAAATATATTATCCTTAAAAAACAAAGACCTAGAAAGACAAAGTTGAAGTTGTGCTTGGATCATCCTTTTTACAGGGACAGCTGTGTCGGAGTGTTGCCAGTCCTTTTGCTGTGCATTTTTTTTGGAGGGGTGTTGAGGTTTTAGGGTTTTTTGTTTTGCTTTTTTGAGGCAGGGTCTTACTTTGTAGTTTATGCTGGGCTTGAACTTGCTTATATAGCTAAGGGTGGCCTCCAACTCACAGTGTTCGTCCTGCCTCAGCTTCCTGAGTGCTGGGATTACAGGTGTGTGCCACCATACCTGGTTTAGTTTTGTTTTTTTGAGATAGTCTTGCCATATAAAGCTGGCCTTGAACTTGCTATGGAGACCAAGTGGGGCTCAAACTTGTGATCCTTGTGCCTCAGCCTCCTGAGTGCTTAGATGTGCACCACCCCACCTGGCTTTTTCTGTAGACTCTAAACATTTTATTCTGTATCCATTGTTCAACAAGTTGCTTTCTTCACACCTGGTGCATTCACACTCTCTTCCTGACAGAACAGCGGTGCCTTCTTTTTAACGGTGGTAGAGCATTCCACAGGATCACTGTAACCCCAGCTCATGGAGCCCATTCTCGATTTTTCTAGAGGACTCTGATTTTTTATTTTTTTGTGTTTCCGGTGTGGAACCCAGGGCCTTGGACATGCTAGGCGAGTGTTTGCTCTACCCCGAGCTACATCCCCAGCTCTGTTTTATTTTTGTTTTGAGATAAGTTCTCACGAAGTTGTTCAAACTGACCTCAAACTTGAGGTCCTCCTACCGCAGCCTCCGTAGTAGCTGGGAATACAGGCATGTCCTATTGCACCTACTTCTCCAATGCATTTGTTTTACTTTGTTTTGTTTTAGTTTTTTGAGACAGCATCTTGCCATGTAGTTCAGGTAGGCCTTGAACTCACTATGTAGCTCAGGTTGGGCTTAAACTCATGGTGATCCTCCTGCCTTAGCCTCCCAAATACTGGGATTACAGGTGTGTACCACCACACCCTTAATTTTGTAAACAGGTTTCCAATGCTCAATAAAACAAAGTGGAAAAAAAAAAAGGCTGGGGATATAGCTCAGCGGCATAAGCACTTGCCTGGCAACCCTGAGGTCATGAGTTT